GGATTCGACCAGTCATCCTTGGGTGATAAGTTGGCGATGTTACCACCGGGCCACCACCGCCCTTGCAGTTACTTGTATGTGGGATAAACTATATTGATGCAGACTAGTTATCCTTCAGACTTCATCCTCACCCACAATCTTCAATTTATCCTGGGCGAGAAATATCAAAGCCGTAAGAATAAGAGTTTCCAAATAATCAGAAAGAATATCGAACAACGGCGACAATTCACTGTTTCGTTCCACAACTTTGCATTCCAAAAAATAACGAAACGGCCATAAATTTCCAAAACGTGTTGTGTACTCATTAAGCTTCATTCGGATATGATGCTCAAGCTCATTCCACTTTTCACCTAATCCCTTAAGCCATGTTTTGAAACGATTAGAGCTCATAATAATAGATCAGTCATCAGCGACTGTAGAAGTGACAGTTTCCACTTAACTTACAGAAGGCTTTTACATAAACATTTTTTCAAACCAAGCCAGACCAAACCTACGAATATAAGCTTTTCCGTTGTCCTTGTTTGTGTTAACCAGTGATTGTGTTAAGTTTTGTAATACTTTCACTGCCGAATACTGTACCGTGACCGACAAGCTCAATGTTGAAAGACCACAATTAAGCACAACACGAACCAAGTTAGTAAAACTCAATCAGACCGAATGTTGGACACTCTGTTACTTCCGGAAGATCCATCACAAATATGAAACAAAACAGTCAAAAGCAAATGATGTTAGGAGCGTATCGAAAAATCGATGCGCCATGTGTTGTTCGGTTACCCACGGCAACCGAAACGTCGGTGAATATGATTCTCTACCGACATCGCTGTGTTATTAACACTATAACATTACCATTCACAAAACAGTCAAAACGTTTCCCGTTCAGTAAAGGGATCCATCGTGCAGACCGATTAGTCACACTGCACAAATAAACCGAACCGCTTTCATGCGCTTCCCATTTCTGACATGAGCGACAGCCAAGTCGATCAATGCCGAAATCTGTCATTATAGCCAGTAGCTTTCAATGAGGCTAGTGCTAGCATTCGATACGTTCCTCTGTGTGCAAATTGAATACATTTCAAATACAAGCAAAATCGGTAACGCCGTCATACGAGTGTCCATGGTAAATGTGACCTCCGCCCGAGGTGAACGTTTTAAAATCCTTTCTCTCCACTTGCAAGGGACTGGGGTTTTCACTTTGTGAAAAAACTGCCTCTACTGTAAAAGCTGTTTGGAATGATTTGCTAACGGAACTTACTCATTGTTGGTGGTGGAACTAAATGGAACACGTTGCCGAAAAACGTGATTAGCAATATGTATGCTTAAAAACGTCTGCTGCAAATGTTTACAAATTTTCAAGATTCTCTGTTATATGACTGTCAATAGAAACAAGGTTTGGCGAAATAACCCAAAAGCGGAATTATCCTATACGCGTTTCATTCGAGGAGAACGTGTCCCGTGACCAACTGGACGGCCCACGACAGTTAACCAGGCGATAATATGACCGAGTCATACATACTTGGGTGCGGTAGTGGCACTGTAATGAATAACGTAAACTGCTTTCACTCAAAAACTTTCAATTCTATGGAGAAAATTCTGTGAGCACTAGTTAAAATGATTTCCAACGGACAAAACAGCTACCAAATCTGCAGACGTTTTGAAGTTTAACACAAGGCAACATGCATGTCTGGGTTTAGTTTTTCATCAGTCCAAAATCAAGGTAAGATTTGGAGATTGTTTTCTTGATGATAAGCTACATAAAGCGGCGTGTATGGAAAAATTTACGTACTGTTTCATTCTAGCCAATCAACATAAAACGTTCACTGTTCACATTTTATCAGCATCAGTTCCACTAAGTAACCGAGGGATCTCGTATGCTATCCGACTTTTTGAACCCGTCAAATTCTTCCAAAAATATTCAGACATTTGCTTCAAAACAAATAATGCCTTACACATTTCAGTTAAACGACCATCATATAAGGACCTGTGCTGCCAGAGAGAACGATAAGAGAAAGCAATAGCTTGTGCTTACCATCACCTTTCAATGACTCTTAATGCAGCCGAATACTACAAAGACTTCCAGGAGGAGGCCGTTATTGGCTATTCTGAAGGCAACGTGCACTAACGCCGTGACGCAGAACTAAATTGCACAAGTTTTGACGGTAGTCGAATGAGCGTGGAGTGTGCGATGAATGACCAGTTTTGGGAGAGAATCCCTACTTAAACTGACAGCGCCCATTCAGAGTGGATGCACATTGGATTGTTGCGTCTCTATATCGCTTTCCCCCTTTTGAAATACATATGATATATATGTTCTTATATGCAGATGCATATACCCGATTGTAGAGCTTTGCTGACAGAACGTCCCTATGCCACACCACTTACCCGTGGTTTGTGGTGGCACCAGAGGTACACAAGATGTGAAATCCTTATCAGCAGTATTCATTGAACCTCTCTGCGCAGCTTCAAAACAAACCCGATTTTCAAAGATTTTGTTGAAATAATTTGACTCTCTACGGTTTTGGCTGCTTTGCTAAAGGAGCATAGTTCCACGCGGTGGAGGAATTAGAACGATACATGCTCGAGTTAAAGCAATTTATAATCCCGGTGGATGGGTACCAGTGATTATTCGCGGCGCTCAAGCGGATGTGGTTTTACTGAAACAGCTGATACACAACATTTTCGAGGCCGTAATTGAAAATCCTTCATTGTGGTGACAATATTCCAAAAATCCACATATATTATCTTGCGAGGCATATTTACCTGAAGCTGGTGGCGGTACTAAAGCGAAGGAAAATGGTGTGAGGTTTAACGGGGCAGAAATTGTTCCACATTACATAAACGCATTAACTTTTGAACCCTTGCACACTCCAAATAAGGTAAGTATCTGTTTTGTGTTTCTGTGATTCATGAGTGAGTATTTAATCTCGATGATTTGGGCATTGAGGGTGAAATACGAAATAATAACCCTCTATCGAAATGCGTATATGATGATCCCTGATTTCATCACAAAACCGTGCATCGATGTATACTTGTCATCAAATATCATCCGGTAATTACTTCGCGTTCTCAACTATTTAGAAATTTCTATTTCTTTTGTAAAAATAATTGTTTATTTTCCAACACTAAGGAAACATTTGTCAATCTGATAATTGTGCTGTTAAACTTTCAACCACTTATGACACAGGCAATTCGTTCTGCGCTCTTGGTTATTAAGCACATAATCCAACATGATCAAATCAATAGACTGGTGAAGGGCATTCTCGACTGGAATTATTTAAATTCTCCAAAATAGGTTGGTAACTCACATGGTCTGGGCATCGGAGCTATGGATGTATTTCGAAAAAAGCAAGTGAAACTGTTCGATGAGATTTGAGAATTCTACTTGGTCTGTGACCCACAAACAATACGGTTGGAATGCGTTCGTTGTAGACACGCACTATTACGTCAGCCACGTGCACATTGCTCTACTGGCATGAATGCGATATTCTATCCGTTTGGAAAATTAATTTCAGAGAAATCATTTCTCTCAAACTGTTTACGCTGAGAAGGATTGCAGTGGTTGCCAGATCCTGCAACCGCTTGCAGCACAACCGTGATTCAAGACGACGTACGCAGAGGAGATATGGAAGAACTATAGTACAGTGTTTTTGAACAAAGAACAGCACACTGCAAGCGAGCACGATTTAATTCCGGAATCATTTTGTTGCATCTCAACTGGTGCTTACTGCACAAAAAATAGTTTATAAATCACAGATCATGACAATCTAACATGGTATCAGTTCATACTTCCGCTTGTGTGGTCACCAGGGCAATGCTAAACTGATGTTCACCTCCTTCTGCGAACACAGTAGGGGCTTTCGGCACTTGATTGCTATGGCCTCTGCTAATGTTGGCAGCCGTCCATTTGGGATTGTGTAAACAATCCGAAACGCAGTCCCACGATCAACTTGGTGGCCAGTCTGCAGTATACGGCGAGCAGTTGATGACGCAGGTGCTCTGTGAAACTGGCTTGATGGTGTGGTTGTTTGTGTAGAACTCAATCTCACCCGCTCGCGCTGGACCCATACCGATATGTGTTCAGACACTGGAGTACGTAGCTACCTCTCTATTATGCTTGTTTAGGTGGTTCAGAAAGGAGTGCAGCTTTAAATGCCATGCTTTTTAAAACCGATTAATCATGATCTGAACATATGTAAACACGCTGCAAGTTTGGAAATTCCAGCGTTAGAACCGAAATACGCTAATCACTTCTTGCAAAATGCAGCTGGGTAACTGAGGCCGGGTAACCATACTGAGGTCTATAGAGAACGTTTTATTTGCTAAAAGGCAGTGCATCTTTATTTGTTTGCCATTAATTTCACCTGTCTCGCATATCCTGGCCAAAGTGTTTCCTCAGTAACAGAAGCGTTTCTGTCCTAGTCCACATGGTCCTATCTTTTTATGTCAAAGTTAGTGTTGGTATGCAGTCAATATTTGCCGATTGCGCCCACTCTCGCTCTCTCTTTTTCTGATATTACTAATCTCTCATCCATAACATGCCATCCCGTTCACTATTTGGTGGCATCATCACTGCGTCAATGGCCTCTAACCGTAAACTAATTTTCTCGTACATTTCCATCAACCATATTTGTCTTGATGCTTCCACTTCCCGTTAAACACGAACTTATTCACCCCAATGTGTGTTTGCCCTTCGTTTCACAGATTCGCCCTCTTCATTTCGGTGAAGTCGTGTTTTGCAGACATTCGAGGGATTCGTCCTCGGCTGATTACTGTTATTTCAAGTTTGAAGCTTAAAATTTCATGTCCCAGATTCCCGTGACATTTCCACACCTGCTACATCTCAAATGCTTTAATCAGGAGATAATGTCTGACGATGAAGAACTGAAGTCCCACTTTGTTTCCAATATCAATCATCGACATATGATGCCAACTTGCAAACCAGGTTGATTGTGAATCCAACATTCCAAACAAATACAGATGGATGTGAATGCAGTTTCACTTCATCACCGGACATTGATCGCGCTTATATCATCCTCTCCATTCAGTCGCGCATAGGATTTTATGAGAGAGGCGTTGGTCATATTCTCCTCATCTTTGACCATCTCAATAGGTGGAGCTTTAACTGAAGGGCTACCACCAGTCTCATAGATTAGCTGCTGAGGATTAGGCAAGACAGATGCTTTAACACAGGTCGTAACCATGGCCACGTGGATCAGATCTGTGTAAGGTGAATTCCGATGAGGGCAATCGAACTGGATCTGTGCATGCCACATACTTCTTACAATGCTGTTCTGATCGAGACATGTCGAAAAGCCACACAGCGGCCGATAGAGAGGAAAATGAATCTTTCTTTGAAGTCCATGGCTGTCCTAATGGAACGTTAGCATGGTTTCTTTGGTGCTGCACAGAAATGTGCTGACTCATGGGAATAACATCAGGGCGTCTTGCAGGGACACAGAGCGTCTCTTCGGGTATAATCGAAGTTGCTGTTTTTACACGTAGGTGCTTGGACCCGGTGCACATATATTTGCGAAAAACAGTTACACACTGGTCTGATTGGATGCTTAGAAATCTGGCATTGTGTCATTAATCGATCGCCACAATTGAAATGCAGCTTTCTCGTTCGATACAACGGTATTTCTACCGTCCCAAATCAATACCATGAGTGTTTTGCGACCGCATCAAATTCCACCAATCGACCCCATCGTTGTACGCATTTCGAAAAATTAAATCCGTGTTGCGATCATTTATTAGCCAGTTATTTCAAGTTTTAACCACTATCGATGGAAGATGTGATTGGTTCCAATGAAATCCCTCTGTGTTTCTAAGCGAGAAAGCTGTTCTGCGAACAATTATTTGATGTTATTATGTAACCCGTATTGAGTTGACTCAGCTGTTACTCGTAGAAATCTGTTGATGTTTGTTTAGCGAGAGTGTGTCGTTGTGATTCACCTTCGTAAAATCAGTTACTGTACACGGTACTTACGAGTGACTGGTTCTGGCACTAAAACGAAAGCATAAAAACGTGCCCATCATAATATGTTTGTTGTACATGATTTTACACCTAAATTGATTACACTAACGTGGGGCACTTGTTCAATGAAAATCATTGGTAGTGACCGGTTGGCTGTCACTGTGACGTATCAGTTCTGCAGTGAATTCCAAACCTCTCATGTTTTCATTGTATCTTTTGGAATGAACTATTCTTGGTGTGTTTGCTCATAGTTCAGACTGACATTTCACACTCAGTGCAAGGCAGTAAAGATCTATGCTTCAAATGAGGAGAGTGTCTTCAACTCATTTTTTTCTTTTCATTTGATTCCCTTTCATTGAATATTCAAAGATACAATTGATAG